ATTGAATCAGGAATAAACAGAAAGCCTGAACAGACCAATAACAATTAAATAGACTGAGGAGGGGCCAGCACTGTGGCATAGTGAGCTAAGCCTCCACTTGCAGTACTGGCATCTCATATAGGTACTAGTTTGTGTCCCAGTTGCTCCTCTTCTGATCCAGTTTTCTGCTAGTTGTGTGGGAAAGCAGTAAAAGATGGCTCAAGTTTTTGGGTCCCTGCAGCTGTGTTGGAGGCCCGGAAGAAGCTCCTGGCTCCTGGCTTCAGATGGGCCCAGTTCGGACTTTGTGACCATTTTGGGAATGAAACAGCAGATGGAAAACCTTTCTCGCTGTCTCTCCCTCTCTCTGTCTATAACTCTACCTCTCAAATAAATAAATAAATAAACTCTTAAAAACAAAAGGGGGAGAGACTGATGAAGTAATTTTAAAAACCTCCCAACAAAGAAAAGGCCAGGTCAGATGGCTTAAACATTGAATATTACCAAATAAAGAAGAATTAATATCAAAATTTCTTAAGCTTTTCCAAAAAAATAGAGCTAGGGAGAATAATTAAAAATACTTTTTATGCAGCCAGTATAACCTTGACCTAAGCCAAAGACATCATAAGAAAACTACAAGCCAATATCCCTGATGAACATTGACACAAAACTCAATAAAATATTAACTGAATTTAACAAAACATCAAAAAGATTACACATCATGATCAAGAGGGACTTATCTCTGGCATGCAAGGCTGGTTTAACACATGCAAACCAATCAGCATGATGCATGACATTAACAAGCTGAAAGATAAAAGCTACAAGCTACATGATTATCTAAATTGACACAGGAAAAACATTCAACAAAGTTCAACACTGTTTCTTGATAAAAAATTCTTATCAGCTTAGGTATAGAAGGGAAAATCCTTAACATAATAAAGCTCATTTATTTATTCATTTATTTATTGATGAGTAGAGTTAGACAGTGAGAGAGAGAGAGACAGAGAGAAAGGTCTTCCTTCTGTTGGTTCACTCCCCAAAGGGCCGCTACGGCCGGCGCTGCACCGATCCAAAGCCAGGAGCCAGGTGCTTCCTCCTGGTCTCCCATGTGGGTCCAGGGGCCCAAGCACCTGGGCCATCCTCCACTACCCTCCCGGGCCACAGCAGAAAGCTGGACTGGAAGAGGAGCAACCAGGACTAGAACCCGGCGCCCATATGGGATGCCAGTGCCGCAGGCATAGGATTAACCAAGTGAGCCATGGCGCCAGCCCTGATAATAAAGCCTATTTATGAAAAAACTCACAGCTAACATTTTAATCAATGGAGAAAAAATTTAAAGCTTTTCCACTAAGATCCAATACATGGCAAAGATATTCACTCTCAACTGTTCTATTCAACATAGTACTGGAAGTACTAGGAAAAGCAATCAGATAAGAAAAAGAAATAAAAGACATCCAAATCAGAAAATAAACAAAATTATCCCTACTTGCAGATAACAATCCTTATGTAAACAACCCCAAATATTCCACAAAAAGCCTGTTAGAATAAATGAACTCAGTAAATTTAAAGGATATAAAAATCAACATCAATATCAATCTTTACACAAAAAATCCAACCAAGTGGATAAAGAAAAAATTCTATTTATTATAACATAAAAGAATACTCAGAAACAAATTTAACCATGCAGATACATGACAAAGCAGTAATGAAAAAAACTGAAGGTACACAAAAAACTTGCTCATTGGCTGAAATAATTAATATTGTTAAAAATGCCTAAGATTAGTCAAGGTTTTACAGAGACAGAACTAATAGGACACATAGATATATGAGAAGCAATTTATTAAGGAAATTTGCTTACATGACTGTGAAGGCTGAGAAGTCCCACAATAGGCTGTCCACAAGTTGGAGATCCTGGATGCCGTGGCATGATTCGATCCAAGTCCAAAGAAAATAGGCAAGTTGATGGTGCAATTCTCAGTCTGAACATCAACCTGACAACCTGGGGTGCTGATGGCTGAAGGCTAAGGAGGCTGGAATTCTGACATCCAGGGCCAGGAGAAGAAGAGTATATCCTGTGGCCAGTGCTGCAGCATAGAGGGTAGAACTGCCGCCTGCAGTGCCAGCATCCCTTATGGGCACTGGTTCGAGTCCTGGCTGCTCCATTCCGATCCAGCTCTTTGCTATGGGGTGGGAAAGCAGTGGAAGATGGCCCAAGTCCTTGGGCCCTGCACCCACGTGGGAGACCTGGAAGAAGCTCCTGGCTCCTGCCTTTGGATCGGCATAGCTCTGGCCGTTGCGGCCATCTGCGGAGTGGACCAGTAGATGGAAGGCCTCTCTCTGCTTCTCTTTCTCTGTGTAAGCTCTCACTTTCAAATAAATAAATAAATATTAAAAAAAGAGTATATCCCAACTCATAGAAATAGATACATTCACCTTCTTTGTTTTTACTTCTCTCCAGGCCCCAGGCCAATTGAATGGTGCCTGTCTACACTGAGGGTAGATTTTCCCCACTTCATTTACTTAGACTCATATGCTAATCACCTCCATAAATACCCTCACAGACACACTAAAAAAATAATGCTTTATCAGGTATTCCTTAATTGAGAGAAATTGACAAGGGCCGGCTCTGAGGCGCAGCAGGTTAACACCCTGGCCTGAAGCACCAGCACCCCATATGGGCGCCAGTTCTAGTCCCGGCTGCTCCTCTTCAGATCCAGCTCTCTGCTATGGCCTGGGATAGCAGTAGAAGATGGCCCAAGTCCTTGGGCCCCTGCACCCATGTGAGAGATCCGGAGGAGGCTCCTGGCTTCAGATCGGTGCAGCTCCAGCCATTGCAGCCATCTGGGAAGTGAACCAGTGGATGGAAGACTCTCTCTGTCTCTCCCTCTCTCTGTAACTCTTTTAAGTAAATAAAAATAAATCTTTAAAAAAAGAGAGAGAAGTTGACACCTAAAATCATCCATTATAATGTTCATACTACCCAAGAAATATATAGATTCAATGCAATCTCTATCAATATCCCAGTGGTGCTCTTCACATAGAAAAAAGAATCCTAAAATTCATATGGAACCACAGAAGACCCCAAATAGCCAAAGCAATCTCGAGAAAGAAAAAGTTAAAGGCATCACACTTTCTGATTTAAAATTACAAATTAAATAAAAATAAAAAATTTTGAAATAAAATTATATTACAAAGCTATACTAATCAAGAAATAAAAACAGACACATAGACCAATGGAACAGAATAAAATTTCCATAAATAAATCAAAACAAATACAATCAATTAATTTTCAACAAGGGCACCAAGAAGTAAACTTGGGATAGGATAATTTCATCAATAAGAAATGCTGCAATAACTGGATTTTCAAGAGCCAAAGAATGAAACTGGGCTTATCTTTTTATATCATACACAAAAACCAACTCAAAATGGATTTTAAAAAACCTGAAGTGAAGAAATGCAACCATAAAACTTGTAGAAGAGAATATAGGGTAAAAGCTCTTCGACATTGGCCTTGGTTGGCAATGTTTGAGTATTACACCAAAACCTCAGCTTCAGAAACAAAAGTAAATGAGACTATGTGAACTAAAAAGCTTCTGCACAGCAAATGAAAGAATCAACAAATTAAATAGTAACCTACAGATTCGGAAAAAATATTTGCACACCATACATCTGATAAGGGGTTAATAATCAAAATGTATTTATAAAAACAACTCATGTCTCAAAACAAATATCCTGATTTTAAAAATTGGCAAAGGATTTGATTCATTGGTTTTGGTACCACGGAAGTATGATGAGTTTTAGCACAAACCAGATTGGACAACATGAAAATAAATGTGGATGGTGCCCCCTGTTGGAAGTCACCTGAATTTCCTACTGAGGTAAAACCATCTCGTTTGCCTTAATGAAGACTTAAGTAGCTGCAGCAGTTTATAATAACGTCCCTCTTCCTACTTTAACTTCACTCCAGATTTTGGTGCCAACCATACTGAATTAATATTTTGATACTACTTATGCTTCAGTCCATTCATAATGAATTAAGATCCAGTTCATTGCCAAGCTCCCCTCACCTCTCTCTCTCTCTCTCTCTTTTCCTGGGGTTTGCAAAGTTGTGCTCTTTGCCAAGCGAATTTTTCCCCATTCCCACACTCCCTGACTAAACTCTTCTCTTTCAAGCCAGGGACGAGACAGAACTTCAAGCAAACAACTGCCTAGTAATAAAACATATTGAAAACTTACTAGGTAGGCATTGTTCTAGATAGCTTCAAACGCATTTTTATAATTATCAAGAAAACCTTATCCCATCCCATAGATGAGGAAACAGAGACACAAACAGATGGAATTTCTAAAATAAGATGGGCATTTGGCCCACGGTTTTATGATGCTGTCTGGGCGGTATCCACATGGGAATTCTTGGGTTCCAGCCCGGGCTCTGCTGCCCGCCCAGCTTCCTGCTAGCGTGCACTCTGGGAGGCAGCCGCTGATGGCTCAAGCGCTTGGGTCCCTAACACCCATGTGGGAGATCCAGATGGAGTTCGGGCTTCCACCTGGCCCTGCCAGGACTGTTCAGGGCATTTGGGGAGTGAACCAGCGGATGCAAGATCTCTTTCACATAAACAGTAAGTAACATCAAGGTATAAAGAGGGGCCATGAACTCTGCTAAAGCACGACACAATGAAGTTAAGGATCATGCTGGCTGAGACTCTCGAGCCACACGCCGGTAAGATAAAAATGCAGTAAAGTGGAGGCAGGGGTTGCACCGAGATTGCCGGAGCCAGCATTGCACAGCCTTGGACGACAACGCCTGCCGCGTTTATCCGGGAAACTGGGAGGCTGGAGTGAAAGGTGTTCTTGGTGACAACGTTTCAGAAAAAAAAAAAAAAAAAAAACGCATGGCATTCCGGGGGCATCCAGACGTCTGCTAAATTCCCTTAAGATGTCTGCTGAACGTCTACAGCGAACGTATTACATTTTGGGGCGCAGGCTGGACTCGCTCCCCCGACCTCCTATGGCGCCTGGCGCCCCACCTGCCTCTGCTCCGACATGCAGTTGCGTCCGGACGGTTCGGTCCCTCAAGAATAGAATTCGCCTCAGAAATAGCCCAGCCGGGAGAAGCGTGCAGCAAGGCACAGGAAGTCAAGGCCGGCCGGTAGCACTCGGGCTGTTCTCTGACTCAGCGACGTAACTGCCTTGCTTGTTGGCACCGCCAGGAATCTGTCCTCCGGGGGACTCCGCACCCCAGGGCGTCGCGACCCGAACGCTGAGGCGCCACAGCCCGCCGGGCTTGTGCGGCGCGGAGCCTCGCACCCTGGCGGCCCCGCGCGCGCGGGCAGCTGAGGCGGCAAAGACGACGACGGGGAAACTCCTCCCAACGGCCCCCGGGGGCGTGGCCAAGGAGTCCCCGCCCACCCCCGCGCGCGCGGCCACTCGGCAACCGGCACAACACAACAAAATGGCTCCCGCGCCGCCCGGCGCCTGAAGCGAGAGGCCCGCGCGTCTCCCGCCCCGCCCCGGTCCGTGGGGCTGCTCGGTTGGGCTCCTGGGCGGTGAGTGCTGCGCTGGTCGAGGCCGTCCTCCGGGGTCCAGACCGAGCGGCGGGGGCTGGCGGCAAAGGCGAGAAGGCCAGGGCCAGGCGTGGGCTGCGCCGGCTCCGGGTGGATCCGGGGCGGGGGCGTGTTGCCTGGGAATTGGGATTGGACGCCAAGGATGGGAGGGCCCGGAACGGGCGTGGGAAGGTGGGTGAAGTAACGGGCGCGTGAGAGGAGAGGAGGTAGGGGTGGTGGGTGGTGGGGCGATGGAGGACGGACGGCTGGCCTGTGGGAAATGCGGAAACTGGGGCGCGGCGCCGAAAAGAACGGGGGTCGCGCCAGAATGCGGGGCTGCGGTGGGCCAGGTGTGTGGGAGTGGCTGGGGTAAAGGATGGCTCGGGTATCCCGACAGGTGTCCTGGTGTCAGGCAGAATGAAGAACCTGGAGACAGAGATAGTGGGACGCAGTGCTTGAAGAAGGGGGAAGAGCGAATTTTGAAACCTCTCGGACTTGAGTTCAAGTCTCTATTCTGCCACCTTGTGTTATGTAGCCGCGGCCCCGTGACTCGGGGCATGTTCCTTAACCTTTCCTTGTTGATGAGAATAATAACTCAAGACTTGAGTGATCACTGTGTGTCAGATACAGTTCTGGGTACTTTGCGTGTACACTAACTCACTGAGAATTTTCAGTAGCTGGTGTGAAGTGAACCCTAGTTTAAAAGTGGTGACACTGAGTACCAGAGAGGTTAAATAGGTGGAAAATCTGAATTTGAACTCAGGCCGTCCAATTGTGGAATCCTAAGTTCTCAAATGTTACTTGCTAACTGTCACCTGTTAAGTGAGGTCAGTAATTCTGGTTCTATACAGCATCTATGAGAATTTAATTTTGATAATATATCTAGGATTTAGTCTTGTCCTCTGTCAACACAGTTTTGTGGAACAGCAAAGAAAAATAGAAACAGAAAAGAAAAATAGAGTCTCTGCTCTTTTGTAGCTTATAGCCTAAGGAGAAACAGGCACTAATCAAGTAGCTTTGCAAATAATTTAACTCGCTAAGTATTACAAGTGTTATAAAGGAGACTACTTAATGCAGAGGCCATGTATAAAGGAAAAATACAGGCTTGTTATTAATCCTTAGATGCCCTGCTTTCTCAGCTCTGTGTTCTTGGGCCCTAGAACAGTTCTTGGCATGTAAAAGTTGCTCAGTAAAACTGAATAGCTAAATTAATGGAAAGAAGTGTGAAGCTTGGATTTTAGGGTATAAAATGAGCTGAATGAGAAGATGGGAGAGGGGAAATCAGGTTGTTAATAGGATGGAGAAGGACACAGGGGTCTGAATGTTAGAAAAGGCCAGTAGGGGCCAGCGCCGCAGCTCACTAGGCTAATCCTCCGCCTGTGGCACCGGCATTCTGGGTTGGGTTAGTCCTGGTTGGGGCGCTGGTTCTGTCCCGGTTGCTCCTCTTCCAGTCCAGCTCTCTGCTGTGGCCCGGGAAGGCAGTGGAGGATGGCCCAAGTGCTCGGGCCCTGCACCCGCATGGGAGACCAGGAGGAAGCACCTGGCTCCTGGCTTCGGATCGGCGCAGCGCGCCAGCCGTAGCAGCCATTTGAGGGATGAACCAACGGAAGGAAGACCTTTCTCTCTGTCTCTCTCTCTCACTGTCTAACTCTGCCTGTCAAAAAAAAAAAAAAAAAAAAAAAAAAAAAAAAAGGCCAGTAGGTAGGTCCTTAGTTTTGGTTGTAGAGGTATGGGTGGAAATTTGAGTATTTTTTTGAAGGGGGAAATTGTAGGCCAGAGTTTTGGAGAATGGATTAGGCTGTCAGGGTAGTTCCTGGGATGAAGAGAGATGAGTAGTTTGCGAAGACAGGATGCATATGGAAGTGTTAAGGCAGGGTACTGGAAGGCACTGTAGAATAATAGAGACAATATGATGTGAAGGCACTAGGGCAGAATTTTGTGGGGAAAATGTGGCCATCAGAATGGGATGAAGAAGGATAGAAGGCAAACATGGGCATTGCAGAGGGCAGTAGCTTTGCAAGGAGTGGCTGCTTGGAGGCTTTGAAGGCGAGTAGGAATTGGCATATTTGAAGGGGCTAGAACGGGTTAAAGAGTATTTCAGTAGGTAGGAGGGCATGGGACAAAGTAGAATTAGAGGGAAGGATATGGAGAGAGAGATGGAAGTTAAGGAAGAGGGGTGGATATTGCATGTTAGGGTGGCCCGAAGAGCGAGAGATGAAAGGTTTGGGATTATCAAGATTTGCCTGATTTGGCGATCAGAGAAGATGGAAAGTTGGGAATGTTAGGAAAGCCTGGATAGAGGTGGAGTTTGCCATCTCTCCTGAGCTGTGATGGACAGGATTGCTAGATCGGGGCAAGTGTCTTGGCTTGGAGGTGACAAGATGGGTAGCGTTTCATTGTCTGATCATAGGATTCTGATTATCACTTCTAACTGGTGGTTTTCTTTTGGTCTGCAGGCCATCTTCTGGATGTTTAAATTATGTCTCCGGCTCTGAACTTGTTTTGCTTTCTTTCAGTTTATCCTACTCCTTCACTCTCTTTAGCCCTGCCTCTCAGCTGTATGCTGTTTTCTCTACCTGGTCACTGTTCATATGATTACAGACAACATCTGAGGGTTATACTACATCCCCATCTCAAATTTTTTTTAAAAGACTTATTTACTAGAGAGGCAGAGTTACAGACGGGGGTAGAGAGAGAGAGGGAGAGGTTCTCTGTCTTCTGGTTCACTCCCCAAACGGCTGCAATGGCTGGAGCTGGGCTGATCTTAAACCAGGAGCCAGAAGCTTCTTCTGGGCCTCCTACACAGGTGCAGGAGCCCAAGTACTTTGGCCATTCCTCACTGCTTTCCCAGGCCATCAGCAGGGAGCTGGATCTGAAGTGGAGCAGCCAGGACTCAAAGTGGTGCCCATATGGGATGCCAGCGCCACAGGCAGATGCTTACCCTACTAAGCCACTGCGCCAACCCCTTTCTCTCCTGAATTTGTATTGCAGGATTTAGCTCTTCTGGGCATAGTTTCTCTAAAATAATGCTCACCATTATCAAACACTGTAAATCCTGAAGCCCAGTTCACTGAATTAGCTATTCTATGAGGTAGACTACATACACTTGTTGTTAGTCCAGGCTTTATAGGAGCTATGGCAATCCAGCGGATCTGGGAATGCACTGTGATTTGGGAACCATCATTTAGTCTTGCACTTTAGTCTCAATTTCTGGATTCTATTCTATTATTTTTTAAAATATTTTATTTATCTGAAAGGCAGAATTAGAGACAGAAGGAGGGACACAGAATCTAAGAGATCTTCCGTCTGCTGGTTCACTTCCTAAATGGCCGCAATGACCAGGTCTAGGCAAGACAGAAGCAAGGAGCTTCTGCCAGGTCTCTGACATGGATGCAGGCACCCAAAGACTTGGGCCATCTTCTGCTGCTTTCTCAGGCCCATTAGCAGGATCAAAAGTGGGGCAGCCCGGACTCCAACTGGCACCATGCCATGGAATGGAGAAGGATATATGAAATTCGGTCTGGACCCTGTTCTTCCTCTTTTATTTTTAAAGTTTCTTGCTTTTTATGAAAACTACATATGATAGTGTGTCATCCATTAATCCATTTTGCTCAGGAAGACGTAAAATTTGACCACTGTAAGCATATACCTCTTAACTCTTTTCAAGTTTGAGAGTATAGTATTCTTATGTAGAAGGGCAATGCTGGTACGGCTGAGCACTGGATCAGTATTGCTAAGAGACTTTCTTCTGTGGCAGAAGGGTGTGATATAAGACCCCAAAATTTTCCACACTTTGAATTTAGGACCAAAAGCCTTGTGGTAATGACATAAGTGGTAGTTGTGTGAACTTAGGGGGAAGCTTTTCTTTTTTTTTTTCTTTTTTTGACAGAGTGGACAGTGAGAGAGAGAGAGAGAGAAAGGTCTTCCTTTTCTGTTGGT